CGATTAGCTACATAACCTACGCATAAAAATAAAATTATGAAATAACTTTATTTACTTCATTTTAGTATTGTATGCAGATCCTCTTGTTTCGAGATGATGAGTAATATTTTGCCTACACACTTAACATTTGATACGTTTCTATGTACGAAGAATAATGAAATGGCATTTGCGTATATTGATATTATACTCATGTTGTTAGTGACCATTTTCTCTCTTCTCTTTCCGATTTTGTATGGTAACTGACAACAAAATCCGATCCCAAAAGAAGTTATATGATATTCTAGGATAGAAAAAAAAAAGATTTTATCCGCCTCTTTACTTGACTAATTCTATGGAGAGACAGAGAGAGAGAAAAAATTGAATATCGCATATAAAAATCAAAAGCAAACGAATTTCTTTCATTCATTTATATTCAAGCAGATAAACTCGATTTGAATATATATATTATTTCATTGTTCTTTAGATTGAATTCATTTTTATCCTTTGACGACTGAACGCAATGTTATATTTTCGCTCTATACTATTTCTTGGAACTTTTTTACTTATTTTAATCTCATTGACAAGGGCCGGTAAGTTTAATTAGATTAGAATTTAATTTATTTTCTATTGTTTATGAATAATAATATATAGCTAATTTGGATATCAGCTGTACGGAAGTTGGACAATGTAATGGAATCGGCACAGCATGTCGAGGAGAAAAATGTCAATGTGATACCCCATGGTACACTCCTTGTGGCACAGAATGTTGTATGTATTTAATTGTTTTGAAGAAAACAATAATAAGAATTTCTTGTTTATGAAATATTTAAGCACTTCGTCATCAATTTGTCTATGAAGGAGAAGAATGTCGAGATACTGCTAATTGCTTAAATAATACTGTATGTACTGAACAACGATGCAGATGTATGGCAGGTTTTACATCTACTAATGGATTATGCTGTAAGTAGTAGTATGAATAAAGAATTTTAAGATGATTCAGATGGAATTTTTAAGGATATTTTATTTGTATAAACATATGATGAAAGAATTATGAAATATTTTCGATTCTCTATAATGATCATAGTCTTATTTCAACTGTATATAGAGAAAAAAAGATCATCAAAAGAAAACATGTTTGAATAAAATTTATTTTTTATATAGATAAAAATTTAAATGCAGCATGTTCCTTATCATCTGAATGTTGGTCTGGTGAATGTCGTGATACTGTTTGTAGATGTCCGCTTGGTTTTGCACCAAAAGAAGATAATACTCGTTGCCGTAAGTTAATTTATTTTTTTATTAAAACAATAATAAATAAAAGATATCTTTCGATAGAAAAAACCCTAGCTGAACTTTATCCAAATCATGCTGCTGCTGCTGCAAATAATAAAAGTGATTTTTGTTATCCTGGTTCAGGTACGCCTGGCTGTCGTGATCCAGTTGCAATTTGTAAAAACGACTCAGTAAATGCAGGAAATTTTTGTCAATGTCCACCAGAATATATTGCTGATTATGAAAAACAAGAATGTCGTAAGTAAAGAATCGCATATGAATCATAATTATTTTTGTTTTAAAGGATTAAACGTATACAGTGGAGAATTATCACCTTCAACAGAACCATTACCAAATAATCAATGTGGTACCTGTAGTGATGAAAATGCATTATGTGTTTCTGTTAGTAATCAAACAACATGTTGGTGTCAAGCTGGTTTTGAGAAAAACAACGAAAACAAATGTGGTATGTACTAAAATTATAATTGTGAAAAAAAAGTATTGTTTAAATTGTATATTTATTGTTTTGAAGAGAAACGCCGTCCCGGTTTTATCTTTCCTAATAGCGCGGATATAAGTTCTCATTTTGGATCATCTGCTTGCTCAATTAATGCATATAACGATACAATTATACAGAGTAATTCATTATGTACCTGTAAACCTTATTACGAATTCGTTGATAAAACATCATCTTGTCGTAAGATTAACTTATTATTAGAAATTATTTTGTAAAACAATTAATTCTAGGACCTATTACACCTAAATGGCAAAATGATGCTTTTGAATATGGTGTATGTACGCGTATAAATTCAAAAGGTGAACCTCTAAAAGTTGATAGCTTATGTCCTCCTCCATTAACTTGTCAAGCACGACAAGATAAATTTGTATGTGCATGCAGTGGACGTTCTCAATATTTAGATGAAAGTAACAATACCTGTTGTAAGTGTTTAACAATGATAGTAGTAGAGATAAATTAGCAGAGACAATTTTTTTTTATCAAGATCATTTCGTCGAAAAAACGTTAACAAATCCCGATGGTAGTCGTTGTCCATCATCGTCGATCTTGAATAACACACAATGTCAATGCTCACCAAATGATCTTTATCAACCATCCAGTGACAATAGACGATGTGGTATAGAATTGATATTCGGTTTAATTTCTCAACTGTTTTAAATATTATTTAGAACTTAACTTGGTTAGTAGTGAACCAGATAATTCATGTGTAGCTAATTCACCACACGATACAACCTGTGTAAACGCCTATGGTGAAAATGCCAAGTTTTGTAAGCGAGGAGAATGTCGATGTACACCTGGTAACTCATACTATAACAATGGCACATGTGGTATGTTAATAATCTAAAAAAAAATAAGTTATTTAATGAACGATTTTAGTGACACTACTTCATGTAAATATTGGTAGTGCACGTTTTTGTCCAAACAATGCTGGATTGAATAATGGCCAATGTAGATGCAACGATGGATATCGAGCTGCGGCTGGTAATCGCACTTGTGGTGAGATAATATAAGATTATCTTTTGATAAAATATGTGAAAATAATTCTAATTCATAGAACCAAAAGTTAATCAGTTGCTCGGTCCAACCAATAGTCTAGCACAAATTCCTCCAACAGACGTAGAAGACAAGGATTGCAGTGCACTATTTCCTAATGCAAATGCTCGAGCTCATAACGGTGATTGCGTTTGTGTTGATAACACATTTTTGTATAATTCTACATGTGGTATGTCATTAGAAATATTCCGCTACTCACACTTTTATATATCATATTATTTGTTTTTCATAGTTTTTTATCTTGGATATCAAATACCAGAAATTGCTGGTATAAGTGCTATCTGTCCCAATTATGCGTTTCCGGACACAGGAATTAGAGGATGTGCATGCACAAATGGTTATAAAAATGATGGATCTAATCGTACATGTAGTGAGTAAAAATATTAAAACAAATTATTTAATTGATATAAGACTTATAATTATTGTTAATTGATATTTTTCTCACTCATCTTTATCTTCTTTAGCTTGATCGATAAACTCAAAAGTTATGTAGATTTTTATAAATAGATAAAATTAGCATTTTATATTCTATAGAGATTTTATCGGATAGCGTAAAATCTTATGTTTTTTTTACTGAATTTTAAAAATATAATCCAATAATTGTTTGGATAGGTACAGTTTAATCAACGGAAATAATTGATTATAACATAAGAAAGAGTTTAAATATATTTTCAATAGATCTATTAACGAAATGAATTAATTACTGATTAAATCTGTTTATTTTTCAATTTTTTTAATAATAATATCTTTATAGTCTTATTTGGGTAAATTCTTTCATTGTTATTACTTATTTAAAATGTTGATTATAAGTCAATAGTTTAGTTGAGAATTTGATGGATCTAAACATAAAGAACTATTAATGGAGTTTCTGATATTATAGTAACTACAGTGTTGCTAGTTCATTCAAAAATTATTTTTTATAAAACAATAAGTGATTATTTTAAATAATTTTTTTCCTTATTATTCTTAAACTAAACTATGATTTGTTTATATCTTTGTAGTTCGAATGACAGACACAGTTTTTGCATATAACGCATCGGCAACTGAATCAATAACAGGACTTACAGACAGAGGCTGTCGAACGTTGTTTGGATTTGCTGCAGACATAGCACCGAGTAAAACCAATTGTGAATGCCTACCTTCACATTTAGCGTTCTGGAATAATAAACAATGCTGTATGTTTTTGATGTCAATGAGTTTTATATGTGCAAATAACAACATTTTATTTTCTAGATTTTCTCGTTGAAACAGCTCAAGCCGCTACTACCAATAACGATACCTGTCCACCTAATTCCATAGTATGTATTTATACAATTACAGATGTATTTCATTTTGTTTTTATTCATATAGCCAGACCCTAAAACTGGTCACAGTTGCAATTGTCCTGCTGGATATCAACCAGATGCACAAAAACAAACGTGTGGTTTGTATTTAATATAATTACATAAACATTACTATTATATTCTTTCATTTAATTTAGTAACAAAAGCAGTGTATTCTCAGAATCTTGAATCGATTGACACAAATGCTGGTGCAACAGTTTGTAATGGATCACAAGATGCTGATGCGGATTGCGTAGGATTACATGGCACGGGTGCTGTTTGTCGTAATAATAGATGTTACTGCGATCGACGTCTAAGTTATGTTCGTAATAATCAATGTGGTAAATTTGTTTTTAGAAAGTATAGTTTTTGTTTAGACGAAAGAATTCTGATTTATTTTAGAACTTTTTGCAAAATATGTATTTCCTGGTGCACATGAACGTTCTTCAATGACATGTAATTCACAAGAAGATTGTGGTGCTGACTCAGATAGCAAAGGAATTGAATGTAATTTTATAGCTGGTTATGAAACTGATTATAAAGTATGCAAATGTAAATCTGGTTATCTCTTAAATCCAACTGATGGAACCTGTGGTATAAGAAAAACGATTTTTGAAAAAATTTCGTTATTTTATTTATTCTTTTATATATTTAGTTAATCAACGATGTCAACCACAATGCCAAGCGAATGCAGAATGTCACGGATATCAATGCATTTGTAAACCTGGATTTTATACTCTTCCATCAGGACAATGTGGTAAGTATAATAGATAAAATTTTTCTTTGTTAGTTATACATCAAAGTATAATATTAGAGATATAATAAAAAAAGATTATATATATTTATTGTATCTAAAGAATTATTTTTCTTTCGTTTATTCATTTAAGTGGAACCTGGTGAAACACTACAACTTCATAAAAAATGTAATACAACAATTTGGAATGTTACAAAACCAACCACTGAAGAACTGATCTGTTCTCCATATTGCCAACGTGCTCAATGTACTTCGGGTTATCGTGATGATGGTTCACAATGTGGTATGATTTATTATTCTAGTGAATACAAAATTCATATTTCTTATTTTTAGTTAAAAATAAATTTGATGATCGTTGTGCACATAATTCAGCTTTCTGTAGTCAATTCAGTTCGAATGCTTTCTGTTACAAAGATGAGAATAAATGTACTTGTAACGCTGGTTTTTATCAGTCTGACGGCGAAATTATTTGTGGTATGATATTTGAAAAAAAGAAATAAAAATGAAAGATTCTTTTTGTTTCTATAGCCAGAGCAGTAAATGGTCCTTGCAATAATGATTATGATTGTGGTGAATTTGGTGAATGTTTGGGTAGACAATGCAAATGTAGACCAGATCGAAAAGAAGAACAAGTTCATGATTATCTTGGACGACCAATTACACGTTGTATCAATGGTAATATAAGTTTTTAGATGTTTTAACAACAACAAAAAAAATTGATTTCTTCTAGGTGTTGATCAAATTCGATACAGTCCAATTTTATTCTTATTCTTCGTATTAATGCGGATCATTTTTTCATAAAAGAAATTGAATTATATGATGAATATTTCAAATAAATAAATATTCGGAAAATATTTTTTTTAGTTTTGCCGTCCGTTTAATATTGTATTTTGTATTACTGCTTTTTTGTCTTATTTTGTAAGATCTATTTCGTTTAAATAACAAAAATATATTTTATTCAAGAAATTGTAATTAATTGATTTATTTTTAATCATAAATGAAAATTTAATTAAACACATTATGTTATTACTTTTCTCTTAGTTACCGGGATCAAGGCTAAAATTGTCAGCTAATTCCACCATGTTTTTATCAAGTGTGAAGCTAGACGTTGTCTTACTTGTTTTTTTCCTTAATTGAGAATTGACAAATGTGTTATTTTATAGTTTAACTTTAATCAGAAATAAATATATTTTCACATTATTTCTGAAACAGCAGATCTAGAATTACTTCCTTTTAAACACAGAATCGAGTACGCGAATCGTTACAGAATTATTCTTAAGCTTTTATCAAGACCAGAATCAGGACCGGGACCAAAAAATAGTGATTTTGAAATTCTCTAAGTAGCATAGAAGTGAGAGAATAAATGTACGGAACTCTAAGTGCTCATTTGATAAAGTGATTTTTGTGGAATATCAAAAGTATTTTGTCACCACGTATGTCAATATGTTCAGATACTAAAATATGCAGACCTGTCTAACTAGTTTACAAATAATGGTATACTCGATATGATGACATTTAACAAATAATATATCATTCACTTCTAAGGTGCTAAACATCGTTTATATTACCTATAGAAATATTTGACTATAGTAACATTCTGGTGTACATTCTAAATGCTTTCAAGATGATAAATTTTGATCATACTGCTAATTATGATTGTTCAGAACTTTCTAAAAATAAGAATGTCATCAATGTAAAAGCAATAATCATGACCAGTAGATCAGCTACGAGTAATAAAATATAAAACGATCTGTTTATCCTTTAAAGATATTCAATCGTTTTTTACTAGAATCATGAAAAGAAAAGAAAAAGTGACCAACGGCAACAGAAAAAAAAGAATAAAATATTCGTTCACCTTGATTACTGAATCTCTTTCTATTTCTTCATTTTTTTTTATTCATTCTGCTTATGTAAATATCAACATACATTTTTTTTTCTTTCTACCAATCTACTTTAACTTTAAAGAATATATTTTCTTTGTTCACAAAAAGATCTCATTTCATCATAATAAATCTTTTCATATAATTTAGTAAATGGCAGTTACAACTACACAAACATCATCTATAATAATTGATCCTTTAAGTCGTATATTAATTCTTGTGGCTAGTTTTTTTACAATAATTGCTTTAACTTTAGTAATCATAGGTACAGCTACACATTCATGGTTTTATGATCAAGATTCTACTGGTATAACACTTTCGTATAATTTTTTTACTCAATGTACTGGTAATTTATTAAATGGAACATCGAATTGTATTGATATGCAACGTAATACACAATTGGGTCTTGGTACTCAACATGCAGCCGCACTTTTAGTTACTGGTATTTGTCTACTTGGTATTGGAACATTAATTACAATAACTATGAATTGTGTTCATTTAAGTGGTAGTTTATCTTTTATACCATCAATACTTCTTTTTCTTGCTGCACTTTTTATAGTTGCAGCATTTGCTGAAGGTTCACGTGTAACAACTTACAATAGTTACAGTGCTAATCTTGTTCAAACTGGACATTTACTTACGATATTTTCAATGGGTATAATTGGTTTTGCTAGTGGTCGATCCCATGTTCAATATCATGGTGAATTCTAAACATTTTTTCTTATCTTTTATTTCTCCTTTGTAATGATAAAATTTTCTAAGGAAAATAAATAATTTAAAATTGAAATAATAATCTTCTACTTGGATTGTCTTTAAAACAAATGAAAGAAACCACATCAAATTCAATTCTTTTTCTTTGCTATGGTTGTTGAATAGCATGAATTTACATTTTGTATAGAGGTGTTGCCATGGTAAGAGTAAATAAGAATGAAAAAAGATAAAAAGAGAAATGAATAGATTGACATCATAGGAATTTTAAACATGCAGCAAGTGCGTTCAAATCGAGATTCATCACATGAATCAACTAATCGTGGAGCAGGACCACTCATTGCTGTTCGTACTGATCTATCAACATTATTAAACGACTATACTAGTTCACAAAAAAATCGTATATATATTTTTATAATAAAATTTTGTTCTATTTTTTTTTAATAATTTATTATTTGTAAAATATTTAGAAAATGATCGACTTGAATCTCTTGAACGTGAAATTGCTTCACTTAAAGGTTCAGTCAAACAAGCTTTTGTACCACCATCAAATGAACATGAAGTAAATCGAGCAGGAACAACTAAGAAATCATCAACATTACATCCTATATCAAATCGAAGTATGAGTGCTCCTCGTATTCCATCAACAATGAGTGGTCGGAAAGTATCGAATGATGAACAACCATCACCACCAATAGTTTCTACCAATGATGGACCTTTTTCACGTCCATTACCTTTAGCACCTGTTAATCGTAGTCGAAGTTTTAATGATAATACATTACATCCACCATCATCTCCATTAACAAATAATACTTTTGATGAAACTAATCTTCTTCGATCGCATAAAGCGCATCTTGAACAAGTACTTCGTAAAGATGCACCACCATTTTCTGATGTTAGAATACCAAATTATATATCTATAGAAGATGTCTTAAAATCAAATGAAGTATTTATTTAATTTCTATATTTTTTTGACTTATTATATATCTATAAATTATTTAGCAATTATTATTAGAAAATGATCGTCTCCGATCGGAACTCAATCGATTACGAACTGAAAGTATTTTATTACTTCGATCAATGAGATCACCAGCAGGAAATGAACCAAATTTAGGCAATGAACGGGTTTGTAAAACAAAAGATTTTATTTATTTCATTTGATCTATTTATTTTTTCTTTAGATCAGTGCTGAACGTGAACGTCAAGAATTAGCTATTGAATTAGCACGACAAGTTGAAGAAAATAAACGACTTCGGCGATCATTATTATCTCAATCAGCAAAATTTGTAACATTACGTCAATTGACAAATCCGTCTGAAGCTTCTTTACAAACATTTGATGATCATCATAATGTTCCTGTAAGAATAATTTTTTATTTCTTAAATATATGAATTTTAATTCGTTATTTTTTAATATAGAAATCTGCACCACATCCAACATTAAGTTTTAATAAATCTCAACAACAACAACAACAACAACACCAACAACAATCAAAATCAACTCGTTTAGTTTTAGCTAATCGAGGTCACACTCGAACTCAATCATTCAATCATGGCTCACACGATCCATTGTAAATTATTCATTGTAGATCTGTGTGTGCAATACATCTTTTATTTCATTGTTATTTCTATTTGACACACATTATTTGCAAGTTTTAATAACCATTTGACCATATTTTTTACTTGATTTGATTAAAAAAAAACGTATTTATTTAAATCGAAGATATTTGATATTCTCAAATAAATCGATTATTTATCCAACTAACTAAAATTCATCATTGGCGAATATAGTTACACCAAGATATATAAATAGTAGAAAAATATCTCGATCTATTTGCTAGTAGAATTAAAAGTATAAAGTTGAACCTGACGTTTTTTTTGTCTGTTAAAAAAACATGTTCGATTATATTTTACTTCTACAAATGAAATGGCATCACTTAGAACTAGATATAATATAACGTTAATAACATTTTTCTCGAATATATTTGTTATCATTTACATACATATATCGCTAAACATTCAGAGAGATAAATGTATTTAGAAGAATTTTGAATATTACATTAATTTTCTTCTTATATTAGAATAGTAATACAGGTTCAATCAATCACTTCATTTTTTATCGTTGTGTTTTATTATTGTAGCTTTTTTTAAATATTGTTGGTGTGTATGAGATTTATTGATAGTAAAAAATTATTTCGTTGTGATAATAATTTGTAGAAAGTGGCAAATGTTTTGATAATCCAAGTCGAAATAGTTTTGGTAAATGTCAAGTTAACTCCACTTTTGTTGGTTTTGATAACTTCTCCGATAATAAACCACATGCTGAAGATTCATATTCATAAGATGCCTTTACACAACATGATTCGTCAAATGATAATCAAAATTAGAAAAAAACTAAGTTGTTCGATTATTAATGAATCAATCAAGTGTTGAATCATCTATTCGATTTCTTCTTCATTTTTATTCATGTGAAAAAATAAAAATTGCTGATGTATTTCACCATCTACTTTTTACTTTATACTCATAACAAAATATGAACTTTGTAATCATAAAATAATGTGATCGATAAAAAATTTTTATTCATTCAATAAACAAGGAGAACTTACATGTCGTGCTAACTTGAATAGTATTCATGCAGTCTCAAATTTTTACCAGTGATGTAGTAGACAGATAAGATAAAGGGGATAAAATGCCAAAAACGAATACGTAGGAAAGACGAAAAGCAACTAATTTTGTTTTTTTGTAAATGAAAAAAATGACGATAAGAAACGAAACGAACAATGTTATGTAAATCATGAATTACTTCATAAATTTTCTAATGGAGGAAAAACATGATCAATATGTAGTCTAATCGATTTATTTCTTATTGATTGGTCAATATATCAGTATAATTAAAAACAATAAACGTCATGTATGTCCTTTCATAATAAACAAAGCTAATCTCGCTATAAATCTTTGTGCAACATTCATTTCCAAGAGAAAAAATGAAAGATGATAAGTCAGAGATGTCTCTTCCACATGTTCACATTGCTTCAACAGTACATATCGTGGCCTCCAACTGTGATACATCATTCTCTTTCATCTATTCTCTTAAGTCATGCATACATTCTTGAGTCACATATATATGATCGGAATTCGTGAGTCATTTACATATAATCAGGATTCCTGAGTCAGGACAAACTGAAATGTGTCAAAATAAGACCGTTATATAGTTGTAAACAAAAACTAGAATTCGTGATTGATTCAATTTTTTCTATATATTGGTTCTCGAAAACATGTTAAGGTGTATAAATCTAGGTCAACTGTTATCATACGACATGTGTATTCTCCTTTATCTTCTTCCTTCTTATGTGTTTTTCTTTTCTGTCATACTCTTCGTCAGCCATATTTTCTTTGTATTATCTCTCTCTCTCGCGCGCTCAGTAGGTATTTTCCATTTAATAGATTATAGATATTTTCTTCTTATGCCTTGTCGCCTCCTTATAAATCGTTGCTTGTGTAGTTACAATAAACAAATAGAAATATATGTAATATAAATATTCGCTTTTGAGTATTAAATAGTTAGTTATGAAGTAATCAATCTGGCAAACAATTTTATTCTGAACTGAATTCTATTCTGTACTCTGACATATATGTGCTTTGATGTGTACACAGATTCGATTTCCTTATGTCTTTTCATTTGTTTCACTTCAGATAAATGGCTTATATCTTCACAGTACAACCTTCAGAATCAGTCAAAGAACCATTTATATCGGCATCCAATGCTTCGATTCAACCCGTACCTTCTCACAATGATCCCAAAACATTATCCACTAAACTCGAAGATGATGATGATGATCAATGTCAATGTTGTTCTGCATGTGATCAATGCTGTGGAAGTTTTCTAGACTTTTTTTGTAATTGTTGTGTATTGTTTACATGTTTGGCGAACTTGAACTGACATTAATCTGAAGATATCATTAAAAAATGTATATAAACAACAAAATCAAAAAATTTAGTTTATAAAAATCAAATCGATTTTGAAGTCTGAAAATGTTGTACATCCTTCTAGCTTAACAACCAGTATCCTTTGCAAACGGATAGCAAATTTTTGGCACACTGAAATGTTTGAATGTGTAGTCTTTAGTTTGTAACAAGTATTATTTTCAATTACGGATATTTTTTAGTATGCTTATAGCAAATTTATTTTGATTTATTCAATCACAAGTTATCTGGTATCAAGAAAAAGAAATGAGTCTATAGAACAACGATAAAGTGGTAAAATATAAGCAGCTGTTAGCAAGTATTAGGTTGCTTATGTATATCGCAAGTGTCGCCTGTCTCTCAATCACTTGGTGATGTTGATAAAATTTGACATGTCGATTTTGCTGGTTGAGTTCAGAAAACTTTGAGATTCTTTTCAAGATTAAATCACAAGTAACAATCCATTATATAGTTCTCACCGTATGTATTTGCATGCATGAATTTCGTACTTTAAACGTATCTATATTTTATTCAAATGATTACAAGTTTTGAGTATAATTTTATCTTTCATGGATTTATTGATGAAAACAATTAATTTCTTCGGAAATGATGAGTAACTATACATTTCGAATATGATTTAATTGATTCATGGATAGATAATGTTTGCATTTGTGATTAAAAGCATGCCCTTTCTATTTTTTAATAATTCAGCAAGAGACAACTTATTTGTCTTAAATTTTACATTGACAAATATTTACAATAGTGCTAGTGAAATAACTCTCTTCTTGTTGTTAACTAATATATTTCTCTGTACTTTCAACAATCACATATCTTTGTTGATTTCGTACGTGACTTAATTTGATATCTTTAAGACAAAATATTTTTCGATTATTACTCATTCTTATTCAAAGTCTTTATAACTAATATTTCAACATAATAGTTGATCATATTTGTTAGATTTGTTTTATTTTTTTTTGTTTCTAATAAAATGTTTATAATGAAATATGGAAAGAAAATGTTCATCGTTATTGTAAATAGTTAAGAATAAAATTTTTTATTTTCTTTAGCCATATCAACTAATAATTGTGTTGGTGCAAATCGATCACCATATTTACTACGATAATTATTCATCAAATCAACTACTTTTGAAACACCATATGTATCCATAAAACGGAATGGTCCTTAAAAACAAAAAACATATAAAAGAACAAATATTTTAAAAGAATTTATCTATACCGCCTTTCATTGGAGGAAATCCAAGACCAAATACTGCACCAATATCACCATCAGTCTAAATATTTAATATTAATATAAAAATAAACTAATTATATATTCATACTGGAGATGTAATTATTTTTTCTTCAAGACATCGTGCTGCTTCATTTAAAAATCGAAGACCTGTACGCCATTGAATATTTTCCATGGTTATTCTAAATATCAAATTAGAAAAAATGATTATACATTGTAGACATTTTCATAATGACGTCTCTCAAAATCAGGGAAAAATGCTTAATATCAATTGAATATATACATTCGTACTCCTTTAACGATAACAATTCTAATAACCCTCATGGATAATTTAAATCATATTTACTCTTCTTTAGGCTCCAACGAATAATTTTTAATTAATTCTGTAAATTTTGGATTAATTTCTCGGTTACCACCTTTAACACCTGCTTGATAGATATATAGACCTTGTCCAGATTTTCTTCCAAGTAAATTATTACTAACAAGATCTTGTAATAAATCTGGCATTGATTTATCGGCAAGACGGTCACCAAAAGTTGTGTGCATATCACGCGCAATATGAGCAGCAACATCAACACCAACTTCATCAAATAATGTTGCTGAACCAACAGGAAAACCAAATTTTTTTGTTGCTTTATCAATATCTTTTGGTGTTGCACCTTCTTGTAGAAGACGAAATACTTCCGAACCAGCAAACATTAATAAACGTGTTGTATAAAATCCAGGACCATCACCAACAACAATAACAACTTTGCCCTGTTTAAGACCAACACTAACAGCTGAACGTACTGTATCTTCAGATGTTTTCTTAGCTCGAACAATTTCTAATAATTCCATTTTATCAACTGGTGAAAAATAATGCATACCAATTACCTAGAAAAAAACAAACGAAATATGTTCTTTATGTTAAATTCAAGTGTTGATATTTACTTTTTCTGGACGTCGGCTATTAGCAGCAATTTCATGAATTGGTAATGCAGATGTATTTGAAGCAAATATACAATGTTCAGGTATACGTTGTTCAATTTCAGCAAGAACTTTTTGTTTTAATTTAAGATCTTCAAATACAGCTTCAATAACCATATCACATTTTTCTAATCCTTCAGGTGTTGTTTGACAATTTAAATTTGCTAATGTACGATCATATTCAGCACTAGAAATACATATATATATTAAATTTATTGAAATAAGAAGAAAATATTGAATTTTATTTTACTTCGTAAGTCGTTTTCGTTTAACATAACCTTGATAACCTTTACTAATTTGTGAATAACCACGTGAAAGTGCTTTAGTTGTTGTATCACGTAATAAAACATTATAACCTTTATCAATAGATACATGTGCGATACCAGCGCCCATTAAGCCAGAACCAATAACAGCAATATTTCTAGAATTATTTTATATTAAAAGAACATACACATAAATGAATTTTTATGTATTACTCACTTTACTTCTCGTTCAGGTTTTCCATATTTATTTTTCTTACATTCATTTCGTCCATGAAAGAGACTAATTAATGCTTTTGATTCAGTTGTACTACCAAGATCAGCGAAACCCTAAAATTATTATTCGATTTTACTATAAAGTTAATCACATTTGATTCGAATATTTTAAATCGTCACGATTGACTGAGCAATATGTACAGTATGCTAATCATCGATATACATGTACATAAGCGATAAAAGACAATCCTTACTTCAGCTTCAGCATTATATCCAACTTTTGAACCACTTTCTAAAGTTTGTTTAAGAACCTAATGATAAGAAAAAGAGAATTTTTTTTTGTAAAATATAGAATAGATTCATACATCTAAAATTTTGAGTGGTGCTGGATAGAGACCTTGAGTTTGTGACATAACCTTTTTTTGAGCTTGTTCAAAAATATAATTTCGAACATATGATGTTGACATGATTTTTGATTTAATATCTATAATAATTATATAGTAAATTCTACGAAATAATGAATATATCTTACTTTCGAGTAAACCAGGTTGTTTTGGAGTATGTTTTCGAAGGGTTAATTCTCTAAAAGAAATATTTTCTTCTTTTGATTACTTTTACAGAACGAACATACTTTGCTTTTTGTACAGCAACTTGACGAAGATAATCAATATTTTTTTCTTCTGCTGTTTGTAAACCAGGTCCAATAGGTTCAACAAGAGCATCAACTAAACCCATTGATTTTGCTTTTTTTGCTTTTACTTCTTTACCAGTTAAAACAAGATCAAGTGCATCAGGTAATGAAAGTCGTTGTGCTAATCTTTGTGTACCACCAGCACCAGGTAATAAACCTAATTTAATTTCTGGTACACCAAATCCTGTTCGTTTATCATTCATGGCAATACGATAATGACATGCTAATGCAACCTAAGAACAAATAAACAACTTCTTTTTACAAAATCTCAAATAGAATCAAAACAAACTTCAAATCCACCACCAAGACATGAACCAGCAATTGCAGCAACAATTGGTTTTCGTGATTGTTCAATTTGATTCATAACATTTTGACCATTACGTGATATTTTAAGTAATTCATCACGATTCTTAGCTGATTCAAGCATACTAAATAAAACGAAAAATAGAGATATATCGACAAATATAAATATTTATTCTAACTTAATATCAGCTCCAGCAATAAATGAACCAGGTTTAGCGGACATAACAACAATGCCTTTGACTTTATCATCATTTTGTAATTGTTCAAATACTGGAACAAATTCATCCATCATTGCTTTTGACAATGTATTAACCTGAATTGATTTTTATTAGAAAAAACGAATGACATTTATTTTTTCATACTTTAGAATTTTCTTGATTGAATTGGACAATAGCAATATCATCTTGATAATCAATTTTTAAATTTTTTAATTGTTTTAAATCCGCTAAAGAGAGATTATAGATTTAAGATTAAAACAATAATTGAATAAATCGATTTACTAGGTTTATTTTGAGATTGTTGTTGTGGTTGTTGTTGAACTGATGTTGAAGCAAGTCGAGTCCATAGTTGTGTTGCAACTAGATTTAAATTAGATAAGTTTAAAAGTCTTTTTTTTACTATTATAATTGAAATTTTTACCAGGTGAACGTGTGAGTGATAAAAATCGTTGTTGACGACAAATAAATGTCGTGAATATAGCTGAAGCCATTTTAACAACAATCTACGATTTAATTCAGTCAAAAAGGGTTATCATTCAATGAAGCAAAGCGCGGAGCAAAGGTCTTTTTACTTCTATAAATTACCATCCGATGTCAATTCTACCAATGATAATACGAATATAGAACTATATTCATAAAAGTATACAGTTGAATTAAATATTAAAGTTATGCAATTAGATATTGATTAAATAAAACTATTAAAAAATAATACAATCTATAAATTATCATATACGAGTGACATCTATTGATTTTCTTCGTTGAGGATGTGGGTGTAGACTTAGATATGATTATATGTCATCCGTCTTGACACTCTCAGTCTCACACTCACCCACACCCTTCTGAAATGATCTAGACGATGGTCCATTAATTCATAGACATGACAATTTTCATCATAAGATAGATCAAAACCAAATTTACAGGGAAGTTGGTATATCGAAAGCAAAGAATTTTGTAAGCATCAATAGAGCTACTTTTTCAATAGAAGTTTCGTCATACGTTTATTTAATACATGCCTATCAATAAGCAAAACATTCAATATACCGTATCATCTCGAATCTCTTCAGAATGTGATTTAATCTTAATAATTTTAAATAAAACTCAGCAGACAACTGAGAATATTGCCGATATAGTTTTTAGATATAAACAAACGAATGTTCTTCATTTTTTATTGTTTAAAAGAAGTAACAGAGTCATCTAATGGGCGGCGCGCTAGCAAGCAACGGGTTAGCAACTGCGTCCCTTAAAAAATTGAAGCTGCGCCACCTATGAGTCATCTAATATATTTTCAAAACTGAAGCTTTGCGTAAAGACTAAAGATACGTTCTTGACTTTTTGAATCAATATATGATTTTCTTTTACATGAATAATAATTTGAATACAACAATATTTATATATGTTCTAAGTAGATGTTCGAAAAGTTCTTTTATTTCTTTAATTTTAATGCATTACATAATAGTGACAAGCAATAAAATACTAAAAATACTTTTTCCGTGTTTAACTACTTTCTTCGGCGGGTGAAAGAAGTTCGAAGAGAACTTGTTCAATTGATCGACCTGATTCTTTAGCACGTTGAACGCCAGAAAGAACGATACGTGCACGTTGATCAGGTTTAACAATTTGATCGAATTCATCAAGAACCTTTTCTCGACCTTCGGAGATTTTACGGAAACCTTCACGTAATTTTTGTAATAATTCTTCAATTTTAGCACTGTCGTTGGCTTCAACAGCTGCTTGTAATTGTCCAAGGAGTTCTTTACCACCTTGACGACGAGCACCCATTCGTTCAACAGCTTCAGTAAATAATTTTTTAAGCTAATATAAACAATAAAAGAGTTACTACAACAATTAAACACAATTCAATTCTTACTTTTTCTTCTTCTTCAGCTGATAAAGTTAAACCGGCTTTTGTTTTCCATGTTTCGATGATTGTATCAACACGAGCTTGGGCCATTTTTATCTTTAAAAACTAATTATTTTCAATAAAAAATAAAACAAGACTAAACCAAAAACACTTACTTATTAATATATAATAAGTTACTGTAAAGACGAGTGAGTGATGAATACATTAATATTCTTCAGTTTATATAGTCGTTTCAGAAGCATAAGCAAACAGATGTTTTATCGGTATTTTGATAAAAAAAAAGTTCGACGTTCTTCGAGAACAAAGTTTAACTCTCTAAACAACTATCCGCCCATATGATAGTTATCTTTCATATCTTCAAGGGACTTTAATATACGCAAAAATATAGCTTATCAAAACCAAAATGTCATATATTCTTTTGTTAACAATAATGATTCGTGGTCAATACCCCAAGTAAATATAATACAAGCTTATCAGTTATATTATTTTCATTTTTATATTAATATGTTATTTATTTTCTACTATTGTTGTATAACTAAAAAATAAATAAATAAATAAAAAGAAAAGAGAGCCTAAAACAGTTTGTCCGTCCTATCTTATGACTAGATTGTATAAGAATACGGAAAGAACACAGTATGGATTGAAAGAAGAAGAAGAAAAAAAAGGAAAATTTATCGTTCATTATAAAATAAATTTATGTTGATTGGATTGTAAATATTTTTGCAAAAGTGTTGGATAATCTGTCATTACACCGGTTACACTCATCTTTGTGAAAGCATATTGGAATTCTTGTTCATTATTTAATATCCAAACATACACCTAAATTGAAAATAAATCAATAAAATAAAAACAAAAAGGCAAAACTTACTGGAATACCACGACGTTGTAAATGTTCAAACATTTTTTGATTATTTAATGCACTAAATGTATTTGAAATCGAATGATGAAAGATAATATTTTGAGAAAAGATAATTACCGTTCAATTATATATAAAAGTATTTTAAATTTCCAATTTACATTTTCAGTTATTTTTCTAGATGAGATAAAAATTATTTTATTAAGAAAAAATAAACAAAAGTTTTCTTTCATACCCAAATACAACACCAGGTATTGGTATTTCGAAAGCGCCTGGTGTTATTGGTAGAAATGGTAATAAACCAATCCAATAAGCTACTACAATACCAGCTGCTTCTTTCATTGAACAAAATCGAACAATTCGAGGATTCTAAAAGATCTGTATTAATATCTAAACATAAAAAAATATCAAAATCATACTTGTATAGTTAATTTTCGACATATTTTATGACTGAAACTACCCCAATACGTAAGATGTTCTCGTTGATATTGTTGAATCAGATCAGAAACCTAAAAAATGAAATTATTACAAAAAATCGCATTGTATTAAGATAAGAGAGATTAAAGAATGATCTGTTTCTTAAAAGCAAGAATGTCACCTTTATTTAATATATTGAAGAATCAATTTTCTAGTATAATCATGTAATATGATGTAAAACAAAATTCAATCGAATTCTATTTTACCTGTTTAATAAGTTCATCATTATCTTCTTTAATATCAATATTAATCGGAGTTGTTGGATAACGTTGAAAAACATCTTTCAATAATGGTATACGTAATAAATCTTCATTTTTTGGATTATTATCACTTGATATAGTTATATCTAAAAATTGAAATTTGTTAAAAAAAATAATTTTTTCTATTCTCTCACTTGAATCATAATAAAGTTGCATAGTATTAGTAATTCTTGGTAATTTCTAGGAAAAAAAAACAAAATAAATGAATTATTTTATAATTAATCTTTATTTTTATTTACATCATATTCAATATCTTTGATAAATCCAAGTTCACCTGTCGTTCTATTTAATAAAAAATCATGATGAACAACTGTTTGACGATCTTTTGTCATATGACAATCTAATTCAAGCATTTCCACGCCATTTGTTAATCCTCTAGAATTAAAAATAAATTTAGACATTGCTCCGTAATCTTTTGTTAATTTACCTGTCAAATGCAAGTAGAGAGTTTTCGATGGATTCTCCCGCTCCTAATAAAAGGAAAAATGAACTGGTTTTTGCAAAGATTAATTAATTCATTAACCACCTCCTCGATGTGCAATATTTCGAGCAATGAATGCTGGTCGACGTTTTCGATAAATCCATTGTGGTCGTCGTAGAAGCACAAATGAAGATATTGCATAAACGGTTGCTACCGTCGTACAAACTACAAACACTGACATAA